AGGGCCCCCCTCCCAACCGGGTTCTAGGGTGAGGAAGGGGTTAATCCCTTACCTTTTTTCCAGCGTCGGGTTCCCTCGGCTCTGGGGACTCCCCTCATCCTTTCCCGTCATCGGCTGAATGCGCATGCGCAGCATGAGCCGCACGCGCATTCAGCCAGTCTCATAGGAAAGCATTCTCAATGCTTTCCTATGGTCGCTGGCGTCTTCTGACTGTGAAAATCACAGTGAGAAGCGCGGAAGCGCCTCTAGCGGCTGTCAGTGAGACAGCCACTAGAGGCTGGATTAACCCATTTGTAAACATAGCAGTTTCTCTGAACCAATCAAGATACAGAATCTGGAACAGTGATAGCAGCACCAAGACAATAAGAAATAAAAGTTCAATGCAGGGACAAAATAAAAACAATTCCAACGCGTTTCGTCCTTCTCTGGACTTCCTCAGGGATGTGTAGCTGTGATAGGAATGGGGATCTTCTTAAATATCCGTCCTTTAATCACTCAAATGTTCGCCGGTGTTGCCGTGCGTTCCACCGTGGAACGCATATTACTTCCGCATGACGTCACTTCCGGTTTCGCGGACGGTGATCAAACTAGTTTAGATAACTTAATTTTGTATATTAATAATAATGATTATAATCTGGGCTTTACTTCTACTTGTGATCCTACCCAGATAGATTTTTTAGATTTAACAATTTATATCGAAAATGATATCTTAAAAACCAAAACTTTTTTCAAAAATACTGATTGTAATACTGCCATAGACCGTGCTAGTTTGCATCATCCTTTGTGCTTAAAAACCGTCCCAAAGGGACAATTAACACGTTTGAGACGTAACTGTTCAGATATAGAAACTTTTAAAACTCAATCTAAAATTATTAAACAAAGATACACAGAAAACGGATATGATTCAAAAATGATTGAAAAAGCAGAGTCTTCTTTAATTAATACAGATCGTGATAAGCTACTTTTATCAAATAGAGATAAAGATAAAGGTAAATAAAGATTCAAATATATTTAATTTTGCTTTTATCACCAGGTATCATTCTCAAGCCCGTGAGATAAAAAACATTATTAATCGACATTGGCACATCTTAAAAAAAGATACTTTTTTGAATAATATTTTACCAAATAAACCTACTGTAATTTACAAATGCGGAAGTAATATGCGTTCCACGGTGGAACGCACGCCAACACCGGCGAACATTTGAGTGATTAAAGGACGGATATTTAAGAAGATCCCCATTCCTATCACAGCTACACATCCCTGAGGAAGTCCAGAGAAGGACGAAACGCGTTGGAATTGTTTTTATTTTGTCCCTGCATTGAACTTTTATTTCTTATTGTCTTGGTGCTGCTATCACTGTTCCAGATTCTGTATCTTGATTGGTTCAGCTGCTGCATATCAATACCACCCAGTGTGGAGACAAGCTGCTTTTACTCTGATACATTGTAAGTGCAATACATGTAATAAATTGTTACTTTTTATACAATCTGCACTATCTTTTTTTCCTCTTTCTATTTGGAGTGAATTAGAAGATTTGCTGCTCACATATATTTGGATTCATCGCTGGAGGTCCTTCATACTTTCCAGTCCCTTAATACAGAGGGAGATATGCCTGATTTCATCTTACCCTTGTGAGTTTTCTACCACCCATATTTCTCAAGTGGTCTCTAACAATATTACACTATATATTGTTTGTATATCTCTTTACAGATACATTTTGCATTTAAATATCTCAACATATATTCAGTTTGTATTCATTTACATATTATCACTTTTTGGTGATTCACATTATTTTGTACTTCTGTTTTTTTTTCCATTTTCTTGTCACTGTTGTTTTTAGAGTGTTTATAAGGGAACACTTTTAAACCTAAGGTACTGTGTGCATTATAGCACTGACGGTTAACTGCTTGCTTTTTCTTCTGTATTTATTCCTAGATAGACCTGGCACCCAGACCACTTCATTAAGCTGAAGTGGTCTGGGTGCCTATAGTGGTCCTTTAAACGTGTGAAGAGCTGCAGGGTTCAGCGTGTGGAGAACTGCAGGGTTCTGTATTTTAGCATGTGGAGACCTGCCGGGTTCAGTCTACAGAGAGCATGAAGGTTTTTCTATTTTGTCTGTGGATGTCTCAATAATAGGTCAGTATGATTCTGTGTTCTACAGTCAGCTACAGTGTTTATTGTGTTCTGAACATCCTAAATTCCTAAAATTATTCTAAATATATTACTTATATATATATATGCAATCTTATTTTATTTGCATTAATAAGAATAATAAACATCAGAACAGGCCCCATGTAATATATGTCACTATTATTGAATATCTTTACATTTTTTTCTGAAGCTATACAGTTTTCGTTTTGAGTGAAAAAAGTTCAAATGCTTCAGAATTAACGGATATTTAAAAAAACATTTTGTCTCATCTCGATGTAAACAAAATTAATCTCCTTACTCTTTGTACCGCGGTAAGGCTCTGGGTCAACGATTACTCTTTGTCACTTTTCTAAAACAAGGGGCAGCCCACAGAACATAGTAATGGGGCTTTTAAAACCAGCATCATCAAGGCTGTTGTGCATGAATGTATGTGAGGTGTAAATGGGAAACACATAACAAACACAAAAGCCAGGTTTACATTTGCCGAACCACAGATCGACAGGAAGAGTGAAATCGGAGATTCTCTTGCTGGTTTGGTAACATAGGGGCTGACATTACACACAGAAATACCAATCGCTTTCAGCCAGGACTCTCTGGTTCAAGGTTTCCCATGGGAAGATACCAATTCACCATGTCCTTTTACGGTGGATGATTTATCAAGCAATTGATCTCCCTTTTAGCAAAAATTCTAATGAACTGCCTAACTACCTCACTTTTTTCACTATTCACTTGTGAGTTGCGGTGAGCCCTCAAATAACAAATTGTTGAACACAATGATCAAGTTGGGTGGGAACGCGGCATTTATAGCTTGGTTGTTGTGGTGTAATTTCTACAAGTTGTTTCACAGCTCAGTGTTATTCAGTGTTTTTTAGGAGACACTTTAAGGGTTGTTTTTTGTGTATAATATTTTATTGGCTTTCAACAAATAAAAGAAAAGAAAAAAATGAGACTCTCAGGCCTCTGGTGTGATGAGCAGTTTGGTCATGCAGGACCTGATCAGGATCCGTGAAGATAGGCCGCACAGGTCCATGAGTTGATCATCATAAACTTAATAAGTCTAACAATTACATTGACAAACCTTGTGCCTGCTTTTCACCTCCAGCATAATGTTCGCAGGTAGTGTCGTATCCAGTCACCCTCCCCATCCTCTTGTTGATCCCTTTCCTATATTATAGGACAGTCTGTCGATGGTCCTTCTCCCCACTCCAACTCTAGTTGACACTTTGAGTTTGATAAATCGTTTAGCATACATGTGGTATTGGGGATAGATATAAAATGATAATATACATGTAAAGGATTATACAATAGGTGGGGGAAATGTCTGACATTGTTTTCTTATCTGTAACTTTATTTATTTGGTAACTGATTTTTTAAAAGCCCAACCAAAATTTTTATTTTTGTTTCTAATAACCCCTTCCCACTGTATTCACGACTGTCAGGCTATACAACCATACCCCTCATTCCTGTATAAACAATAAGCATAATTGCAAATTATATTTGTTTATTGCAAATTATCTCATAACTACAGTGAGAGAGCTCACAACGCAGAAGCATAGGAAGCCACGACAATGCATGCCTCTGAAGATGAATACATTGCTGAAAGCCCGCCATTCAATATAGTTACATCTCCTTATACACACACAAGGCAACCCCTATTTATTTTTCCACTAATAGTGTTAGTGGGGCCCTCATGTTTGAGGTTCGCCTAAGGCCTCCCAAAGCCTATAGGGGGGACATTCTATGCACTTTAAATACTATAGAGACAGTTTAACTTCTGCATTATTTGCTCAAATCTGTCCAGATTAGCAGCCTAAACCATAACAGAAATCTGTAGAAGTTATGGCGCATAGAGTGTCCTTTTAGCATTAACACATTAGCATAATTCCAAACACTGGAGGTATGAAATCGGGACGAGTGGGCAGGCTTTCAAGGGGGCATCACCCGTGATGCAACTTGCATCACGGGTGACATCCATAAAGGGTGGGCTCATCTGGGAAGATGTCGTGCAAGCACGTTGACAAGGTCATCAAGCACACCAGGCTGACAGACAGCCTCTCAGCTTCCCCCAAACTAGAGGACTGTGCAGTGAGCTCTTGTGGAGCTCTCTCTGCATGGCCCTATTGGCCACGGTACAGCGCTAATTAGTCTAACGATATACTTGTGCCATGTTTGCCTTGGGCCAATTTCTTGTTGTCTTATGATGTAGGATACCAGGGAACTAATTGTAATAGAGTGCCTGCACTAATTGGGACTGTCCCATGAAAAGCAGGATAGTTATGAACCCTGCATTAGGGTTCCCAACTATATATATATTCAGAAAATAGTGAACTTTTGTGAATTGAAAAACAAATTGCAAAATTTAGTGGTAATTGATTGATTTGGGAACATTTTTAATCTTCGCAAAATAATGTTTGTCTGTTTTAGCCTGAATTTTGGGATGTGTTTTTAGTTTCACTACAATTCACCATTTAGCGAATAAACCCCTTTTGTGTTATTTGGATCTTCTATCAAGTAAAGTGTTAAACTGCTTGTTCCAAATTAGAGTGTAGCCTGTAGAAATGATAGATTAACCAATACATTTATTGTGACGAATACCATACTTAATGACCTATAAACTTAATTGCCTAATCTTTCTTTTTTGAATGGAAGGCTATGAACTTAGAATAAGCAACGTTTATGTATATCAATGAAGTCTAACCTCAACCCCTACTGTTATTGTTTTTTTATTTATTTACATTATACCTTACAATTGGTTTTAGAGAAAAACATCTAAGTTGTATCCTATTATGTTGAATCCAACCCTACAATTAGACAAAGTCTTTTTATGTTAAGAAAAACAAATTTCCTTGTTTGTAATTGTAAATGTAAACGTAATGTCACTTATTTGTAACTTGTATGTCTCCAAGAAGACTCCAGTTTACGGCAGGCAGGGCCTTTCATTTATTCTCTTCTGTACATTGTGTGATCAAGAACCGTGATTTTAATCCTAGAGTCTTCAATATGCTTAGGGTTTTTTTTTATTTGTTTTGTTGTTTTTTTTGCAAAGTAGGGGATGTGAGTTCTTTGAGGTTTTATGGACCCTTTAAGTAGTGAAATTCTTAATCCCTTGTGTATTAAGCGCATCCTGTACTTTACATTTGCAAAGTGTTGAGGATTAATTATTACCCCAGACCAACACCTATTGTCTTGAAAACCCAGTCTTTGTATTAGCCTTAAGAGGAATGATTGATTGGTCCTTGAGTTTAAGGAGTCATAAGACTTTATTAGATAATACGAAATCCTCCCTTTTCTTCTGGTCTTCAAGTGAGGTGACTGCCAGGGACAGACAGTGTGCAGGAATGTCATTAAACAAAAGGTATTGTCTCCAACCAATGGAGTCTCCTGGTGCTGCCATTGTGGGCCTATTGTCTTAGGCCCTGGATAAGTCAGAGTGGGGTGGGGGAGTCCTGCATGGTGGGGGAGCCTTGGATGTTGTGGTGACTATGCAGAAGCTGGGTCTCCATGCTCTGACCCATACAGCTTGCAATTAGCTGAAATTAGTCAGCTGTATCTAGAGTCGATCTTCCTTGAAAACACCTAACTGTGCGAAAAGAACTGCCTCATTCAGTGTGTAAACCTGTGTGTGGTTCTGTGGCTCTGTCCCCAGCATGGGTCCAGCTAATGTCCTCCGCTCTCTTCCACTGAATGATGGCAATCATTAAAGGGCTCAGGCTGCTCCGTTTCCACTTGTTCTGTGCTTCTCGAACCATTAGCCTTAAAAATCGCTCAACTGAAAAACACAATGAAAGAGTCAAACAACCAAAGTCAGCTTAAACTCAAATTTCAACCTGCATGGCTGAAGCCCCTTCCCCCATGCCTTGTTACACTTGTCACCTTCTTAACCATTTCCCTCCAAAATCTTAAACTTCGGACTTAAACAACTTTAAATGCTGCATATCCAATAGTCATTTAAATAGACTGTGTATCCCACTCTCCTACCACTGGAATCCCCCAAAAATTATTTGGCTTCCTTCTCCTAATACTTCCCCCTCAAACTGCAAAAAAAAGCCACAAAATACAGAATAAACCAACTTATTATGTACCAAACAGAGCAAAAGTTTTGGTCCCAAAAGTCTGCATTTTCTAGTGAGAGCAGCCATTTGTTTATTGTAATGTATGTATTTTCTAGTCTGTGGTCATAAATTAAATACTAGCTGTATTTTGATACTCCAAGTAGTCAATCAGCATACAGTATCGATTTGAAATATATTAGATTGATTGACAAGCTACAGAAGGAGAACCCTAATACAGAAGGTTCTCCTGCTATCCTGGCAGCAACTGCAGCACGTGCACGGTATGCTTTGATTAACCCTCTCCCATGAGTGACTGCAGCGGTCTCACACTTTAGTGTTGGATCATAATGGACTATTCGCACATGCTGATGCGCTAGCAATAAAGCCTACATACTTAATTTAACCTCTCTCCAGTTTACTGATATGTTAGCAGAGGGGATGAAGAAATAGTATTGCATACCTGTTTTGGAAGTGGGCCAGAAAAAAGGCTTGTGGCTCCCAGACATGAAGGGGATTCCATATATCACATGCCAGTCACACCGTTTCCATTTTCTTCATGCTGTATGTGTTGTACCCTGTTTTGTGTGAGCAGGGGGGCCTGTGTACGCATTGACCAGCTTAGCACTATAATGGTTTGTGTAGCTAACTCTGGTGTGTGCAAGCCAGGAAATAGGGCAATGCCGAAGTTTATCTGTACCTTAGAGACTTGTTTCCCTGCTGGGCTCAGATCCCGGCACGTGCTGAGTGTCATTCCAGTCTATGTGACCCCGGCTGTAACTGTGTGGTTAACTTGTAACTGTGGATCTGCAAGTTTATCAGCAGTTTGATGACCCCAGGGTGGCAGTGATAACCCCTTTTGCTGTATAAATATCTCATTCTATTTACCAGCAAAACATATACCTGTATATATCAAAGCTCAGATGCTGAATACGGATTGCTAAAAAATAAATATAGTATTTTCATTTTGTGTTTTACATTTTTCATACCCTCATAAAAGTGTGGCTACTTTTCCTTCCAAGAAATGTACACAATGTAAAGGAAAATAGAAAATATAATTGTGCAATATATAAAGATACAAGGGGCAACAACTAGTTGTACATCGAAAGGAAAAACACATTTGGTAAAAAAATAAAAAAAATTTTTTCCGATATCACAAAAAAATTGATGTGCCTTTTGATTGGTATTTTGGTGGTTTTATGCATATGATATAATACCAGCTAATTAGCCAAGCATAGTGAACTTCTGCCACTTTAGCTTGTTGTGGTAGTTATGGTGCCTCTTCCCCCGCATTGTATGTACTCAAAGCATTTTTGAACAGTTTGATTTCTTCTACACCGCTCCCGCCTCCGCTACTAATGCCGGAGAGCGGCAGTTTATAACACTGCACGGTAGGGTTTAGTTTGTTTTCAGACAGTGCCAAGGCAATCCTAGCACTGTGACCAGCGCAGCAAGCTGTAGTGTTTATGGTGCTTAGATTATTCCTTTACATTTGCAGTCTAATTCTAGTACATGAGGTGCTGGGTAAAATTAAGGGCTCTATGCTACTTAGACAGTGGAACCTCCCTGAGCTGCTGTGAGACACTTGCCTTTAGAATTAATTTTGTCAGGATCCATTCTACAACAGCTGACAGACTGCAGTGACAATGCACAGACCGGTAACTGCTTTTGAGACTTATTGAATAATTTTGTAAATGGTGCTCGCATATACTGATGTAGAACAAGCCCCATCAAAACATCTTGCCTTTGATCTGAGTGCAATGTGGCCCTCTCGTTGTAGACAGAACATTAATTTCCAAATCAAACCCTCTCAGGATAATTAGTTTGGTAAATGTGTAATGAATGTCTGGATTCGAGAAGATGGGATCACGTTAGTGTTTAAACTGCTCAGTGCTGTAAGAACAGGATATGTTCGATTTCTGCTACAAGAAACTGGTTAATAAGCAGAAATCTGTCATCGTGGTGGAAGTCCTTTATTGAGTTGGAGATCCGCTGGTGGTTTTCCCATGTGAAGGTGGGAAATGGCCTAAACTTTCTAAAGTTTATTCACTAAGCCTTGAATTCACAAGGGAATTGCAAATTGTCGTCTAAAATTGCTCGACTGGAAAAATAGCTGAATTCTTCACAATTCTTGGTTTAGTTATAAAACCTATTCAGCTGATACATGTCAGTGGAAATACCCCACATTGTGCATCCCTAGTCATTTCTGTGAACAGATAAAAAACAAACAAAAAAAAGTACAAGTGAGACGCTTGAAATGACACACAATGTATATATTGTGATATACTTTAGATAATGTGTCCCTGTTTCAGACAAAAACATACTTGCTTTGTAAATGTTTGTGTCCCTTACAGTCAATAAAATCTGATATATTATGACGTATAAAAATATGTACGAAGGGTGCCGTCAGTCTGTTGATATGTTTTGACTATCTAATGTTACCACTTCTCATGAACCATGGATGATCTGATCCTCAGAACCTGCCATTAACACATTCTCTAAACCGCGACTCGGGAAATTACCTGTTAGGGAGACTAAAAAAAAAGACAAATTTTGTGAATTTGAGGAAAAGTTTAAAAAGAAAAAAATGCTCTGTGCACATCCAGGCTCAGCTCAGTGCTTCTTGATTGTCTTAGACAATTTGTGATTTTGATGAAAACTGCTTTAATATAATTAATTTCAACATGGCTGTCTGGGCGCTACCCCTCGTTGCTTGGCTACCTGGACATGTGCCTAGTGTGTCCTCGTAACACCAGGTCATCTTCCCCATACTCATTTAGATATTTTGTTCCTATGTATGTTCATCAAAGAACTGGAAAGATCATATGGGAGAAAGTCATGCAACTTTTTAGCTGTGCCCATGACGTACAAGGCTGGATGAATGAGCATCTCAAATCAAGCTGAACACGCAATGACAGGAGCGTTCAATGCAAGCTTTCTCCTCAAAACAGGTTCCATTGATTCAAAGCTTTTCATGTTTTTTCCTGTGGCTGCCTCGGTACACTGCTCTTTTCAGTGCCTCCTGTCTATTCAGCCTGCTTCCTGAAGGACATGGACCCTGACACCTGTCTAAATCTGATAAGATGGATGGAGCGCCCTGCCTTGGACATATGTGTACCCCGTCTGATCAAAGCAGGGAAACAAGGGAGGCTCTTTTCAAAGCAGATTACAACTCAGTCACTTTGAAAACACAAGTGAGCTATGAGCTTAGGCATCTAGAGGAGAGAACTGCTTTCATGGGGCCCTGAGTCTGGAACATCAGTGAAAACGTGACGTAAGCATGAATGAGTCATCTCCTAATCCAAGCAGCCATACACCTGTGACTGCAGTATACACTGTAGCCCAGCTCCGAGCAGTCAGTCTCCTGACCTGCTGTCCAGGATTAGGAAAATCAGATTTTATTATAAATTGAGTTCCAACCTTCTTAACCATTCTGTGTGTGACACATTTCGTTCACCCAATATGTATCCATATATTTTGGACAGCTTGACAGGATATAAGAATGATAGGCATACCTAAAAGTCCCTAAAATACCCAACTGGGTCTTAATTGAATTGATCCACTTGAAAGCTGCCCCTCAACAAATGAGTGTATGAAAAATGTGCTTTCGTAAGTTTAGCAAAAAGGTTTTATGGAATGTGCATTTTTTTTTTGTATTTTCAGTACTGGTGTGAAACTTCTCTTAAAACATGAATTGGTCAACCCTACGTGTGCCTCTGTGTCAGTACTTGTTAAGTTTTTGTGCCATACCTCAGGTTTTCTGAAATAACTATTTTGCCTTGTAACCTAGCACGAGCTAGCTGCCCACACTAGGCTACCTGCTTGTTTTAAGACCCAACATCCAGTCTTAAAACCCACGACTTGCTAAATAACTCTAATTATAAATTAGTTTTCTGAAAATAAATCGATTCCTAGCTGCTGACAATGCATGGCTTCCCCGATCGCTGCTCACAAAGTGCGTCCATCTATCTCAATTGCTCAGGCTGCGTCTTCCTAAATCACTGGGCCAGTTAATGAGGATGGGGGAGCCATTTCTGATTTTTGTGATGATAGGGAGACGGGCTTATTCTGTATCCAATTTTAAGCAATTTCTTGACAATCTATAGTTGTCACGTTAATTCGTACTGTACGCAAATTGCGCACATGAAAACCCATTTATGTGTTTTGATTTTTTTTTTTCTCCTTTGAGGGACATTTTAGTAAAAGGAAAAAATGAACAATAATTCTGCAAAATATGGCATTCTTCTTCTATTGGTTGTGTTTTTTTTCTGTAAAGTATCACAAAAAGTTCCACGAATACAAGGCAGTCTATTTATTTTTCTGCCTGATTTTCTTTTGGCTTTCTGGTTTGCAGTTTGTCTCTTGGTTACTAGGTCCTGGACACGATGCTTTATGAGCTGTGTAGACAGCCATCTGCTTTTGCTACGCCTGTCACAGAAAACTGTGGTGTAATCGAATATTGAGAACATTTATTTCCTTAATGGCTAGAACTACCAGCATCTTGTCAAGTTATTTATCAAAAATACTGTGTTCAGCATCGCTGCCATAGTCCAAAAAGACCAAACCGTTCTCCACCTCATACAGGCTCCATGCCTGGTGGTGTAGTGTAAGGAAGCAGGATGGTCGCTCTTCTTATCCAAAGCTGAGAGTGTGAAAACCAGATATGACATCATTCTCAAGTGCCTTCCTTCACTACTTTGCTGAGAAACATAGGAAAAACTGTGATCTCGCTGCTACCTCAACACTAGGTATTGAGTAGTAGATGTCTCCCTGTTTCACATCATGTTAATCAAGCCGGCTGTAAGTAGGTAGGTTGACAGTAGTAAATATGTAATTTCAGAAAGTGTAAAAAAGTGCTCAAAAGGCATTCAAAGGAGCAAGAGTAAACATGGGTAAAAAGCTTATAAATGATCTCCCTTAACGTGCAACACAGTGGAAATACAAATGAATGTGATATATACTGATATATAGGCAAGCTGCTACACACCTAAGTTATGTGAGAGTCGTGGTGAGGGGCCCTTGGTAGGATAGGATCCTGCATGGGTGACCCTAGTTGAATTACTGATTCAGGGTGAAGGTCCACTTCTGTCCAAGGTAGAGCATTTAACCATATTCTGTTTATTCTAGTCAAGGATAATTTTGTTCACAGATACTCTGATAATTCAACAATATATATTTTATTAATTCATGGACTTGCTGGGCAGTTGCTCGGGGGCCCCGCAAGCATATGCTTGACAACTTTTTAAGTATATTATACCAGGAGATGTATTCAGAATTTTCAAACTCTCTATTAAAACATTTAGGTGGAGTGTTCACCTCTGTATCAGCTGTTATCTGTACATGCGATCTTGCTGTTGTGAATACATACAGGGCCGGACTGGGGATACAAAGCAGCCCTGGAAAAAAAATTTGTGCCAGCCCCATAAGTCACTGCGCCATATATTGTCGCGTGTAATATGTAAGGCTATGTTTTGCCAGGACAGATGATTGAGTAATATATATATTGCTTTTTCTAATATAAAATATTGGTCCTTTCAGGGTAAAACGTTTAATTATACAGTAAGCATACGCACATGCAGACACAGGCAATTTCACTGACATTTAAGTGACACACACAAGCTCATTGATACACATCC